GCCCACTCCCCCTCTCAGCCCTCCTCCATACTTTGCTCCGAAAGGAATTCTGTCTTGTTAAATCCTAAAGAGAGTGTCCTTAATAGCAATCAGCACTTGTAAGCTTCTATACTGGCGCATTTGGTTTTCTGTTGGGTGAATGGGGTGCGTGGACGTTTGTGGATTCCGAACGAGAAAGCCGTGTGTTGTGTGCCATGACATTTCTATTGCACATTCTTTGTACTGGCTTCTTTCATAGCGGTGAACATTTTTTTTCCCTCCTGGGTTGTTCATCCCACTGCAGTCTCTCCCTGAGCTCCTTCACCATCTGTCCCTCTCTATTTTACGGCTACAGAGTGGTAGGGCCTGGTGCCTGATAGACATCTGCCGTGCTGCTGGAGATTTCCAGCAGAGTAGAGTGCTGGAGACCTTGAGCTCAGATCTTCTCTGGTTAGGAAGATGCGAGGAATCAAGTGACCAGTCTGCATGAAATATCTCGCAGCACTGCAGCTAACATCACAAAACTTACGTGTTTTGTATGTGCACCCATGCAGAAGTGATGTGTATGGAGCACAAAGTGCATCATTTTTTAAGGGCAAATGATATATATATATAAGATGTATTAATTCAGTGGTTACCATTTGTTTGCAGGAAAAAAAAAATTGTATGAGTGATAAATTTTATGGTTGATAAACCCAGCCAAGGAGATTAAAAGGGGTTTGGATAAATTCTGGGTATAAATGCTCAGACTAAAAAAAAAAAAAAAAAAAAGACACGGCAGTTTTGCACAGTGCTTTGGTCTTGCACTAATTTTTGTTTCTCATTGGGAAAAACAGTAAAATAAAAGGAAGAAAATGTACCTTTCTGTGGAATGAGTAGAGTGTATGTTTGAAACGTTAGCCACAACCTCTTTGACATATAATGACACAACAAAAAAGGTGCTGTTTTGTCCTATGGTTCAGTTATGCCTCTGCAAAGTTCCCGTTGTGTTCGCAGATCCCCTGGCTGTAGCAGTATCCTCCATGTCATTAGTAATTCTGTATTCCATTTTGTTAACGCCTGGTAGATGTAACCTGCTAGGAGGCTAACTTTATACTTATTTAAAGCTCTTATTTTGTGGTCATTAAAATGGCAATTTCTGTGCAGCACTTTATTGCAGTAGGAAGCAGGTATGGATCAGTTCATAGCTCTCTGCTCATCTGAAAAAGTAATGAAGAATTTAAAAAGGAAAAAAGTCTTTGGCTGAACTTGTTCTTTGCTTGTACTTTTAAGACAACAGAATTTCCAGGATGAAACAAGCTGAAGGAGCAGGAAGAAATGCGCTTTGTATAATAATGGGAAGATTGGAATATGGAAGTTTATATATTATTTATCTATTGAAGAGCTGGTGTACGGGAGGAATGTTTTCTCATTGTGTTGCTCTTTTCCCACTATGTGTTATCCAAGAGTTGGGATTTTTTTTTAATGTATTTCACCAGGGGAAAATAAAACCATCCCTAATTTTCTTCCTCTAGTCAGTTTGCTTCACTAAAAGCCCCTGGAAATCAGTATCGTTCTACAGGAAGCTAGAAGACTGTACCTCTGTCCACTCCAAGGCCCCTATACTATTTCATTTCCCCTCTATACTAGCCCTCCTTGCCCCGATTCCAGTCGGTGAGCTGTGCTTCTCTCTGCCAGGCATCCAGCCGTGGATGGGCAACCTGCTCCATCCCCTGGCAAACCTGTTTACACTACAGAGATGTCCATCGGGGCAGGGAGAACAACCAGTTAGGGCAGGAAGCTCCAAACCCTCAGTCATTCTCTAGCGGAGACCTTTGCTTTTGGCCTTGTTTGGAACGTTACTCAACTCACTGTCTCAGTAAAGGACACTATCAACAGTTGTGGACAATATACTCCAAGAACACTGGGTGTGTGGATGGGTTGGTTCTTTTTAAAGTCATGTCTTTATCCCCATATAATGGAGAATGTGCCACTTGGCTAATAATGTGTTTTCAAAACTATAAGTTCAGTGATGACGGAAAAGAGGGCCCTGGTGATCCACCGAGGCTTATGCACCAGCAGGTTAAAAACCTGATAGGGTGGCCCTGACGGCAAGGACACGGGGCTTTCTAGCGTGCCACTTGTGCAATAGGAGGTCTAAGGATGGAAGCCTTCAGGAGTGCGGGGGTGGCGGAAGGAGACATTGACCGCTCAAATGCCATGCATTTCACTGCTTGCCACTGAACTTGTATTTGAATGACTTAGTAATGCTTAATATAATTGGGCAACTTTTTTTAGCACTTTGGAAAGTCATCAATCTTTCTGGTAAATTATAAAAGTTTTCTGAGTGCGAAAAGGTGTGTTTGGAGTTTGTTTGACTTTTTATATTATTATTGTTATTAATAAAGAAAAATCTACAGCATTTTTCAGACTCCACCTAGATAATGTATACCCCCAAATTTGGTTTGCAGTTTGATACTCAGGGAAGGATGTAGTCCATAGATATCCTTTCCGTGTAAAACACTAACATTTTTGAGAAATTCACCTACCGACTAACTTCAGTTGTCTTCGCTATGCATCCTTCCATGAAAGCTAGCTTATTTTCCCACATGGTAATGCAGTTAGGGTTCTCAGCACTTTCTTTCATTTATCCTTTTTTTAACTCCTCATATTATGTTCAGATGATCATACTGTCAAGGTTTGTGTACATTACTGAAAATTTGTATTGTATAAAGCTTTTTGCATTACAAGGCTGTACAGGGTCATTTTGACAGTAACTGGTATATTCCTTTGCATCTTATGTTGCATTGCCAATTTCTAGTGTATCCAGTTTGAAAGTATAATATACTCTAATTAAAAAAAAAAAAGGTTGGCTATACTCTTGTTTCTTTTCTTTCCCCCCTTGGTTGCCATCCTTGTCTACTTGTTAATCTGATGGTTTTGTTTTCTTTGTTCTGTTTTTTACTTCTCTGTGTATTTTAATTAGGTTAGTGGACCTCTTATTTATAGCTGTTACAAAATGCGAGTTTTGATCAGCCATGGCTACAACGCAAACAGTTACTAAGTTGTGAATGTCCCTTCCGTTAAGGTTGAGAGCATATCCGTCATTCAGGACCACGGCAGCCAGCTCCTTCCTGAAACTATTCAGTGACATTTCGAAAGCGTTCAGAAGCCTTACCCTCTCCTGCTTAAACATGAATTTATTGACCCTACAGCCCAAGCAGGGGGGGAAAAAAGATGAGCAATTTATCTTAATGAAGTTGGACAACTAGGAGATTTAATGAAGGGGAAATGGCATGTTTTGCAAGCCAAATAGCAATCAATACAAATGCAAGTAGTGGTAGTTCACCATTCAAGAGCAGGTACCAGAGAAAAAAACAGACCAAAAAGCAGGGAGAGAACACAGTGAAAAGTACTCTGATAAGTTAAAACAGTATTTTTCAAAATCCATTTTAAAGTTCTGTCCATTTGAACCTTCCCCATGAATCTGGGATGACTGATAAAAATATATAAAGCAACAGATGAGAATGTCTGCTCTGGCTCACAACTCACATGCTTATAAATATAATGTCCTTTACTTATTTCAAGAAATTGTGAACCACTTCACTCTAACATTTAAAGTGATCAAATATACTTTTTAAAAAATGAGATAATGTAGAAGCCATTTTGTAAACGATCAGTCACTAATCAAACACTACTTTCTCATTTTTCTTCATTCAGTAACTATTTTTCAGATGACTCAAACATTCTTTTATTAGATAATACCAGCTTTGTTTTGGGGTGGCTGGTGCTTACTGAAAGTGTTACAAATAAGGCAGATTTCTTTGATTTTTGCTAAGGCTACAGCCATGAACATCTTATTTTTTAATGCACATTTTTCCCTTAGACTCTACAGCTACCTTGCATGTTTCCTGTGATTGAGGGTAACCAGCAATGTAAAGAAGATAATCATCAGTTTGGAAATAATTTTCCCAAAAATGGGGTTCTAATAACTGAGAAATACTCTGGAACAGAGCTATTCATGACAAAAGATGCATCTTCTCTTTTGGAACTGGGTTCTCCAAGTGTTTGACTGAATTCCAATCCAAGCTCACAGATTTTTTTACTGTCTTGTTACATAAGAATATTTTCAGCCAAGCCCCAATGCCATGTTTTCTATAATGTATTTGTTGTTGGTTGCTCATTTAGTAGCCACAAAATGCCTGACCATTTAACAGAGCCATAGCTGTGGTCACGGGGACAAGAACTGTCAAAGCTTGATGAGCAATTGTATCTCTTTCCCCAAGTCAGAAGCATCGCATCAGGACACTCATAAGAAGGATGCACAGGGTGAACAATACAAAGGGGAAGGTATATACCTCAGGTCCCCTCAGTGCTTTTGGCGCATGGGAAGGAAAGAGAGCCAAGAGGACTTCAGTGCATACAAGAGGGTAGGAGAGGAGGGGTACCGGCACTAAGGCAAGGCTGTGGACCAGTATTAGTTCATGGTCTGTTAGGAACTGGGCTGCACAGCGGGAAATGAATAGTAGGTGAGCAAGGGAAGCTTCATCTGTATTCACACCTGCTCCTCATCACTCACATTACTACCTAAGCTCTTCCCCATGTCAGATCAGTGGCAGCATTGGATTCTGTTAGGAGTGTAAACCCTACGGTGAATTGTACATGAACACGATCTAGAACGTGATCATGCTCCTTATCTGACTCTAATCCCGGATGATCTGAGGTGGAGCTGAGGTGGTGATGCTAGCACTGGGAAACATCATGTACCTCAAACATACTGATTTTAAAAAGAAACAAAATATGCCCCTTTTGTTCTACAGGAAAATCGTTTTCCATGAAATCAGTCCCTGGTGTCAAAATGTTGGGAACTTTATCTGGGCCTCCCGAAGACACAGTCTGTAAAAGGATCTTTCCCAACAGCACATTAGGACCTGTGAACAAAAGCACAAGATAAAGGGTGCCCTTGAAAGCACAGGCTCCGTCCTAAGGAGACATCGATCACAAATATCCACAATAACAACAGTCAGCATTCTTACACAGCATTCCTTCAGAATGAAAGAGTCCCACACAAAATGGGGTTTATTTTGTGAGTAGTAACAATTAACCAAACAAGCAAATGCCCAGAAAGGAAGGCCCGAGGTAAGTGTGGTAACTCCCAGGAGCTGAGGGATCCATGTTTCTTCCCTATCCAAGTCTAGGTAGTCTCGAGTTATTAATCAAGACTTATTCTTCCTTATGAAGTAGAAGATCTGCTCATAATTTCTTCTTTAGGGTTGAATCTGCAAGACAGAAATGCAAATCCTGCTCATGTTGAGACTTGAAAAAGGGAGAAGGAAAACCAATTGTGTCCCTTGGAATTCCTTTGCAACACAGGTATTCAGTAATTCTTGCTTTTCAGTAGAATTATAAACTTGAAGCAGAGAAGTAACTTCAGTTCACACCTCAGAATTAGTTCACACCCAGTCTCTATAGGTGTTCCACCTATTTAGTAGGAATATCTGATTATGCATGTTTTCCAGTCACAAGGGACATCACAACAGAGTTTAAGCCTGGCTCAGACACAAATGAAGGTACAATGACAACATACCATGAAGCATCTCATAAAAAAGAGGTTGAATTAACTGATCTTGGGACCCTCCCCATCTAACACAACGTTTCATACATGAAACTATGACTCCTTCTAAACAAAAAAAGGGTAATTTTCTGAAGCAGAAGTCATTGCAAGGCAGAATCTGCAAGACTATTATAACAAAAAATGACTGCTCAATGTTTTCAAGCCATGATAGGCTTGGGAAGAAAAAAAAAATGACTGAAAATATTTGCCTGCCCACTTTAGAGTTTCAGAGGTCTGAATTTATTTTCCTTCTTAAAGCCAAGTCACCATGCTTGGATTGTCTGAGTCATCTTGCGAGTAGCTTAAATGTATCTTGCCGAGCTGTGTGCAGGTTCTGTTCAGATGAGTTAGGAGAGAGAGAGATGGGAACAGAGAGATCTTGCCCCACTCACCTTCATCTCCCTAACAGTCCCTTCCACTTCCTACCGCTCCTCCAGGTGACCAGTGCAAGTGTGCCTGCTTAGCTCTCTACCTTCCATCTTTCAAATGTTTCCTGCAGAACAGTAGATGTTTTAGCAGGTATGAACATCATTTAGCTTTAGCCTAATTAAAGAATGTGCTGGATATTCTTCTTCCACCAACTTACTTTAAAAGATGCATCCCAAGAACTCTGAGTACCTTAGGAAAGTTAGCTCCTGCTCCTACCTTTTTATATCTATTTATTTACCTATACACATACATGTATACATACACGCATTTATACATACATATCTATTTATCTATCTCTATTACCTATCCTCTACTATCTATCATCTATCTTTATGTGTCTATCTGTTCTCTGGGATCCTGCAAAAAACCAGAGCCCTGAGAACAGGGCTTGCGTGCAATCATTTATTTTAAAAATCAACTCCAGGATAAAAGTGGGAAACCAGTAAGAACTGAACAAGTAAGAAATGGAAGCCACTCCCAGGTACACTGGTGAGCTAGTTGTTGCTGTAAACAACCAGGGTGCAACATCTCTGGGACCCTCGAGGAAGAGCTGTATAAACCCCAGAATAGACAACCCAAGAGACAGAGAAGGAAGAGGCTGGAGTCCACCCAGAGGTGTTGACTCTCTCACACTTCCAGGTGACAAAGAAGCCGTGGTGTAGACTGCACGGGTGACTTGGTAGAGTCAGGGTGAGATGCTGTCCATTATACTAGTCCACAGCTGGTCGCCAGAGCAAGGCTGGAGTAAGAAGGTGAGTTCATGAAGTGGGGAATAAGAGGTGCCCATGATAGTTAGCACATTTGTCATGAAGGCTGCCATCACTGTAGCCTCCAGACCAGGGCTGGCTGTGCACTCACCTCCTCCACCAAATCCTTCACTCCTGAGAAGGACTGATGGGAGAGGCAAAGCCAAGCGCAGTGTTGGGTGCTGATGCGAAGGAATGGAAGCTGGCACAGGCGAAGCAGGGAAGGTTTCTCTCATCCATGTGGTAGGCTCTTCTCTTATTTAGTTTTGTTTTGTGTGTGTGTGTGTGTGTGTGTGTGTGTGTGTGTGTGTGTGTTTCTTTGTTTTTTGCAGTGTTGGGGATTAAACCCAGGGCTACACGCGTGCTAGGCTGGTTCTCCCGCAGCCCTAGAGTTTGGTTCTTGATTTCTTTAATAAGATGGAGCTGTCTTAGGACTCTAGAGAAGCCAGTGGACAGGAACGTGGTTGCTTTCTGCCGTGGCAGCCTCCTTGCCTTGGAAGACCCACAGGAGAACCGAGGTGGAGCCAAGGAAGCAAAGCCATCACCCGGCATCCCGGGGCCGGCCTCAAGCCCAAGCAAGAGGACCCAGGTCACTCTCACAGTTCCCAACTCACTACAAATTGGGGTCCAGTGATGGGGCTGAGGGCCTACCCCAGCTAGGAATGAAAGACTGCATTTGCCTGGTGTTTTTTCTGCGCATATAGTGCCCAAAATATCTGGGGTTGAACAGGGAGTATCTGCCCTCATGGGAAACAGAGAATTGAAAATGTAAATATTCAGAATATGGGTCTGTTTTGTTTCTTTCTATTTCCAACACACATAACTGGTAAGTCCTTTTACTAACAGAGGATTAAAATAGACTGATGCGTGCTGACATGAGGACATAAAATATATATATTATATATATATATATAATACATGGAGTACATACATAAGATAGTTTAAATATAATAAGTGTGTATGTATATGAACATCCAGAAGCAAAGCCATCAATTTTATTATTTTAGGACTCATATTGCAGACAATATTTTTCATTTTTCCCTTATGCTGTGGAAAACAAAAACAGGTTGATGAAAGAGACTAACATATGAAAAGAATAATTAAGGGTCAAAGAAATCTCATTAATCAGAATATGCCCTTGCCCATCTTTCCTATAATTAAATAAATGGGCATAGTGTCGGGTCATAACCATGCTATCACTCAAGGTTCCATTGCTTTATGGCATCAGACCACAGACTGAATATGTAGGGCTGAATATGTAGCTGAATATGCAGGGGTCTCCATTACACGAAGAGGCCATGTATCTTTTTAAATGAGCAGAATAAGAATTTCCTGCTGAAGAACGACTTGACAATTTGGCTTGTCTGCCTGTGGATAAGAGACTAACTATGCACATGCATGATTTTATATCACAGGGGTATGTTGTAAGGGAAGAGTCCCTAATATTACCCAGAATCCATTGTCTCATTATTCTTCTCCACAATTCAAAGTTTCCATCTCCTTGAAACTATTCTAAAGTAAGTCCAAGCTACCCTTCCAAATACTTCTTTCCCCCAGTCTCTTCATCTACTCTAAACTTGACTCATATCTCCCTCTTCTTTTTATTTGTTATTTCAGGAACAACAAATATGTGGAAAGTTGTGTGCTAGCACTGGGAAAAAATGGAGATAGATAATACGTATTTCCTAGCTTTAAGGAATTACCAACCAATAGAAGTGTATGAGTAAATATGTTCTAATACCAGTAAAATTGTAAACATTCTCATGGCAATAATGAGTAGAGAGATACTAATTCTTACCAGGGCAGAAGGAAGATTTCTAGAAGATGTAGCATGCGAAGTGTAAAAAGAATGAGTAGGATTTTTGTAGGCAATAAAAGTGGGGAGAGCATTCCAGATTGAGGGAACAGCTTGAGCAAAGGCAAGAAGGTGAGAAATTGCTTGGTGAATTCTCTTGTGCTGAAAGATTACAATGAAATCAAACAAGCCAGTTTGTCATGAAACCAAACAAAGCCAGTTTGTGTAGAGCACTGGGTCTCTTGTCTAGGAGACTGAGCTCTATTCTGTTCCTCCTGAAATTTCTCTACTTAAAGCTAACAAAAAAGAGGAGAATGGTATGAGCAGACCTCTGTTTTAGGAAGATAATTCTAGTAGCACTAAAAAAGACTGAAAAATATAGAGATGAGGAATGTTAACAATGTCCTAAAGTGAAATCATGGTTTTTTTTCTCTCAAATCTACCCCTACACATGCATTTCTAACTCCAGTAAAGGTGTACCAATCCTTCATGTTACTCAAGCTATGAAATTTGGGATAAGCTTTGCCTCCTATGTCTCTTTCCTTTTTGTCTTCCCTCTCTTTTACATAAATCTATCCAAGTCCTGACTTTTTTCAGTACTGGCAGTCAAACCCAGGGTGTTTACCACTGAGCTGTATCCCCATCCCTTTTTATTTTTCATTTTGAAACAGGGTCTCTGTAAGTCATTAAGTTGCCCAGGCCCTCCTTCTTCAGGACTAGGATCACAGGTCTGTGCTACCATGCCCAGCTGAACCCTTTTTATTTTCTTTGCTAAATATTTTTTTACTCCGTCCAGTTTTTTTCCATTCTTAACATCTTAGAAAAGGTCCTGAGCATCCTTACCAGGTGTATCACAATAGTTTCCTGTCTGAATAGGACATTCTTGAGTAGAAAGACTGTGAAAAAAGTCATTCCAGAGCTCAGAAGAAAGTTCATGATCAGACTTGTACACACAAGATGACATTTGAAGATAGTGTAGAGGGTGATAACATCACAGTAGCAGCTACACTGACAACAACCACAGAAGAACCAAAGACAGAACCTTGGGAGATACTCTCACTTCAAAGGGGAATGATGAGGAGAAGGAGGTGGTGGCAATGCAGGAGAATGAGAAGAAACCACCAGAGAAGTCTAGACAAGCACAGCATTGATACAGAATCCAGGGATGGTGAGATTTTCTGTGAAACTGTGCAAGGATGAGTTGGGTGAGGTTGGATCTCAGGCCTGACCAATGTGATATTTCCTGATGATTTGTGGGAAGGCTGTTTCATTGGCAGATTAGGAATGAGAACCCAATTCCATCCTGCTAAAGAATGAATGAGCAGTGAGGAGCTGGTGAGAAAAATAAAAGTAAAATACATGTCCTTGTATTAAGTTCAGTAGTGAAAGAAATAAAGTTCATGCACATTTAGTCCCTAGCAAAAGTTGCCAAAACTTCCCTCCTCTTCCAACCTTTTCCCATTCCCCACTTCACATTCCTTCAAAGAGAAAAAAAGGAAGCTGCTGGGATGCTAATCTCCAGCTACAAACCACACCAAGTTTCCATATCTCTGGGATATAAACTCATCCTCTGGGCTGCAGGCAGTCCATCCTCACACTGACCTGCCCTTGCTGACTGTCAGGAATAGTCTCTGTCAGCCAAAGACATTAGGAAGCAGGGTTGCATGGTAAAGTCTGCAGCACTCCTAAATACAA